TCTCAGTGTCCCACCTAGAATGCCCGATCTCCATGCACCACGCCGTTGTTATGCCGAAAAAGGCATCCCTGCCGTAGAATGCATGCCTGTCTCTAAATGACCGATTGGTCGCTGATCTGAAACGAGTTGAGCTACTTTGTCGAGTAAGGCTACCGTAGTGCTAATCAATAGCCCCCCAAAACCCGTAAAATTCTAACCCTAACCCCCAAAAAAAACAAAAAACCTCTAAAACCCTAACCCCCAAAACACCCCTAAAGCCCTAACCCTAACCCCTAAAAAACCCCTGACCCCCAAAAAACCCTTAAAAGCTCAACTCGTCAGAACACCTGCATGCATTCTAAGGCAGGGATGCCTTTTTCGGCATAACACCGGCATGTTGTGAGAGCTGACGTGAGCAGCGTTACAGTCTGCCTGGTATGCGGCGCATATGACCAGCTATTCAAATGAACTGGGTCGCCAGTTCAGGCTTTTTGTTAATGGCTCTTATTAGACTCGGCACTTCGCGGTGTTACCTGTGTGGCGGGGCGCTGCCAAAGACCCAGACTATACTAACCACCATTAATGCCATTAGTTGCGTTTATATTATCACCGGCCTTTTATTAGAGCGTCTTCTGTTTTTAGCCATGCATTTACATCTCACATGAGCAGCTTTGAATTCTCTAATACTGTTTTAACCAGCTTACTGACGTCATTACGTAAGGATACTGCAATCTTAAGGCCCAGGCACTAAAATAGAATAAAATTACAGTATTATAGAAAATAGGAAAATCCTTACTCACTGAAGTGAAAAAGAACCATTTTAAAATGATCTTTTGACATAGTGCATATTTTGGCCTCAAGTATTTATGGCTTGTTGCTGAATCTTGCCATGTAATGTGTGCTGTGAAATCACTCACAATAAGGGTGAATAGTCATAAATCATTTGCCTGTCTCAGGTATCTCAGCTCTCCACTGTACTGTTGGTAACAATGTGACAAACAGCCATCGACTGACACCATCATGGGTGGATTGGGGGGGGGGACACGTGCCAGTGGCTTGGGGAGGATCTCAGCTGTTGTCACTGAGGGTCATGTCTAAATTTGTTGTTTTACGTGGCTTGCTTCAAAATACTGCTAGTATTTAACGCAATGCTCCCTGTTGGGCAAAATCCTATAAATACCCATTGAACAGGGAGCGCCGAGCTGAGTCTGACTTCAGAGAAACAGACTTCAGACAGTTGTCGATGAGCACTAACTTGATGAAGTGTGCACATGCATCAAAGCTAAGATGCTGAGGAACAAAGGCAAGGACGGCTCCTTGTCTGCACACAGGGACACTGACATCACACTTACCATCAGCAGGTATTTTAGAGCAGAACGTAAGAATTGACTGCTAGAGGTTAGTAGGGCGGCTGATGCTCTCACTTCCAGCCAGGGGAGTAAATCCTTGGCAAAGCCCTTGGAAAACCCTGCCTCTGCTGGAGATGTATTTTCTCCTGGCCTGGTGCCATCTGAGAACATTATTGCCATGTAGCTTCTCTCTGCTCCTTTGCATTTGCCCATTTATCATCAATTTTTTTTTTTTGATTCCCTCATTTTCACTTTCCAGAAGGTTCTGAACGATCCAGCTTTTGCCATTAGGCCACTGGCCAAATTCCGAAACACTCCTACAACCGTGACACAGCCTCCTCAGGAATCTGAGGAATTTCATTTAATTCCCAATCCCTTGTTACCTTTAGGAATGCCTGAGCTCACAACAACAGAGGCAGTTAACAACCCACCTCCCTCTGGGGGCTTGGGTGGGGGGTGGGGCCGTTGGTTTGAAAAATGTTGGATCACATCGGAATAGAAGTTTAGTCATAGGAAGTCAATTAAAAGTAAGAGAAGTTGACATAAGCTGCTCACTCTGGGCTTCAAGTGTCTTTCAAGATCCCTAATACTGGAGTCACTCAAATGCACTATTGGACATAATCCCACACAACAACATACTTTTTTGCACAACTACATTGGGATGCTTCTCTTTCCTGATCGCATCTCGATCTCCATAGTTTGGGGGGGGGGGGTCACAACACAGGGTCAGTTATAATATTGCACCCCTAGAGCCAGGGGGCCCTACTCAAGTGCCCACAGACATGGGACTGTCCTGTCAAGGCCGGGGCTTGAACCAGCAACCTTCCGATTACAAACCCATCAATTTAGCCCACAGAGCCACTCACCTTATTCAGTAAACCATACACTCCACCAATTAGGCAAAACCAGCACCTAAGCAGAGCAAAATGAAAAAGCCTTCTCATGTACCCCTGCATTTTGGGAACATCTACAGTCTCTGGCCTGTTAAAACAGCAGCAACATCTGAACTTGGAATGGGGAGTGCAATCTGATCCGTGCGGTCTCTTTCCTGAGAATGCATATTTATCCCATTTAGAAAGGTACCATGTCTTCCATCCAAAAGCATTCTTTTTTGAAAATCAAAAGTAATTTCACAGGAATAAAGCAGCATTTAAAACACATGGCACTGTAATTTAAAACCCAGCAAGTAAACGTGCACTTTAAATTTGGGGAAGGGGACTGAACTGTGGAAAATTTAATCTACACCCAAGAAAATGAGCATGCATTTCCATATACAGAGCAGGGAGTCGGTGTCTCGCATCCGTTGTTCCTGACAAAGTTCATAAGCAGGAGAGAAAGAGGGAGATTCAAGAGGTTTAAGCTAAACACGTGTGAAAGAGCTTGGTAATCGAGTAAAGATTTCCAATCAGTCACAGCTTCCTGGAGTTAATGTTCTCTCTGCGTGTGATGAATATAACTTTGATTATGCTTCTTCGTAATCAAATTATGTAGGGGGTGGGACAAATAGATCCAAGGCTGTACTTTAAGGTTCAAAACCCAGGAAGAATACTGATATTGTAAGAAAAAAATGAAGCCGAATTCAAAACAGTCCTTACGAGTGAAAGAATCAATTATTAGAATGACAGGGAAGATTGAATATGGGTCATGTGACCTAAAGCACCAGCAATGTGCTGGCTGTCCTGAGTGAGGAGACACTGGTGTTCGATCTGCGGGTGGTCAGTGGAACGTGGGGGGTGTAGTGCAGAGGTTAATGCTCAGGGCCTGGAGAGCACAGCTGTCAACCGGAGCCATAAATCAGCCCTTAAACAGGCAACACGGACGGAATCAAAGCAGAGAGTCTGTTAGCCTTTTAGACTTGATCACTAACCACACCAATCCATCCAATAGAATAGCAGATGCATTTCTGACTACTAGCCCAAATTCTGATCCCCGAAGTTAGCTGTGGATTTACGAGGATTGGAGGGATCAGTTCTTAAAGTTGTGGCCAGTGCAGATTTCAGTGTCAGGAAATAGGAACACTGGCACGTGGGCTATTGCCACCAGACTTAAGCACAAGCACTTGGCTGAATGTCAGATCGTAACTAAGGCTTAAAAAAAGTGAACAGACTTTAAAAATTAGAACGCCCACCCATTTTTCACCCACTTAACCTGTATGGGCTCACTGTGAGCCAAGATTCCAGCTCATAAAACTTATGGCACAAGATAAGGGACACCGGTCCATGAGTGTGCACACGTAACCACACACACAAACATTCTCTCTGGGTAATTTAGAGACACAGTTTGCCTAACAGCGTGTTTTGGGAATGTGGAAGTAAATGTGCATCATAGAAATTCCACATAAACAGACCAGACAGGAGTCAAACCCTGATGATGAGAGGCAGTGGTGCTACCCACCAGTACCACCATAAATACATCTTTATGAAACCCTTATTTTTATTAGCAAACATTTGGAACCAGAGGCTAGCATACACAGACCAGTGCCAGTATGGACTTTGCGATGGTGTTTGACATAATTAACTGGGAGGAAAGTGAAAGATACTTTACTGTTGAAAGAAACCAGGTGCGTCCAAAATTGCATAGTTGTATAGTATATAGTAGGCGAAATATAGTATGCGATGTGTAGTATGGATAAGTAGACAAACAGTATCCAGATGACATACTACATTCTGCGAAATTCCGAAGGGTGCAACCAGTAGACGTTATTTTATCCTACAAGGCAACCGGAGCTGTGACCAGAGACCAAGAACACTGCTTTTTCAGAAATTTTTGTGAAAGTGGTGGAGGAAGTTCCACCTCTGTGCAAATTATAGTGGGAAAACAACAGTCAGTTACATGTTAACTTGAATGTACATATGTTTTTTTCATTGATACTTTTTAACAGTTTTTAACTTTCACAGAGGCCAAACTACATTACTGGTAAACATGTAATATGCGAGATGGCGGCTGCCATGCATACTGTTCTCATGCATACATTCTGCATGCACTACATTAATGGTGGAATTCAGGCAGCTGAAGAAATTCAGTACTTACTGTGTAAGTATGTGTTTTTGGACACACCCACTCCACCTCTCCTTATCACGGTACTTAAGTTGATACTATTCATGCTTTTAATGAGTGGAACTCCAGAGATGATGCTGATGCTGCCGTGAACCTTCATGACGTGCAACACTAGCCACCTCAGTGGTTTCAATCATATTTCTCCCACAAAGGCACTAGGCACCAACTGCTGAGATCCCCTCTAGCATTTATTAGAATTTGCGTAATGCCCATGTTCTGTTCCCCTTACATCAGGCACTGTAACCACTCGAGACCCATGTTCAGGCATGTGTGTAGGCCTCTCTCTGGAGGTCTGTATAAGTTGGCAATACCATACAGACCTCAATGGTACCTTCAGCAGGTGTCAGTCTACACCTAAAAAGTCTGGCCACAGCCATGCCCACAAACAGCAACTTTCAAATTTTCTCCGGATAAAAAAAGGACACACTGTGAAATAATCGACAGGAAAAATTTCTATTGTGAGATTATAAGACATAGCAGATGAATAACAATGTGAGCGCTGACAAAAATGGTTGAGAATGTGTGACCTTTAGAGGACAAATGACCTTGTGCTCATATCCATGTACTGCAAACACACATCAGGTTGTAACAGGACAATGACGAACACAACAACAATGCGATCAAATCAGATGTCTTTATTGCGAGGCACAGAGTTAAGCGAGTTACAGAATCGTAGCCATCAGTATTTCTGCACACCAGGGAAGTCAGAAGGCTGGAAGGGGACAGTAAAGTGCATCTGCACGGACACAAGTAACAGAAACATGAAGGGGAAATGTCCGCATAAGGCGAGGGTCATCTACCAACAGCCTCCCTGGTCCATTCATATGCTGATCTTCTTCTGGGATAGGTTAATCTTGTCTCCAAGGCTCAATGCCATGCCCTGTGAAGAACAGGAGAGCCACGTTTAAAAATGCCTTTCCTTTCAAACACTGCCCTAGAGGTTTATGTCTTCCAGATGGATCGGATTTCGTCCCATTGACAGAGCAATATCTCTGAGGTTTGCCCCCCTTCCCACCCCTGGTTTACATGGCTCACTTAATTCTGTACCCCGCCCCCACTGTGCAATTAATATCAAGGACAGCTCAGTTGGGAAGATGGAAGTGCTGGAGGAGATGTGTACGGGGAAGGCCTCTTCTGTCCTCAAGCAAACATAAGCATTAAGCAACGTCATCGTGATGGGGATGTAACTCAGCACAGTCAGTGAGGCTGAGCACCAAATGGCTGAGCTGGGACCGCTGGCTCGGGGTCGCCTACCTGACTCTTGGCACGGATCCGGATGTGGCCGCTCACTGGAGCGTCAGGGCCCAGGTGCACGGGCTTCTCGATGCTAACGTTGGCGAGGGCATCTTCCCCGAAGATGGAGCGGGCGTACAGGTTAGCAGCCATGAAGCCGCAGAACCCTGACAGAGCCTGTTATTTGGGGGCAGTGTTGGAGTGCATTAGCCTCCAGTTTGCAGCAGAAGTGCTCAAAACAAAAGTGACAGGACATCAATGAAAGCTTATTTAGCAATGATAATGATGCTGGAGAACAGGGAACCTATTCAGGAGTCACATGGCTCCAGAGCCACGCACCATGTTTGAGGTTCCTGTCTGCTACAAGAAGGTCCCCTTTTCTGCTATTGGTGTCTCACATATGCAAATATCTGTTACAAGGAGGCTCAGTGGTTACTGGCTGTGTATTTATCAGTCAGCAGACTGAAAGCATTATCAGCCAGTGAGATACAGAGAGTGAGATCACAACAGAAAGCTCTGGTGTTTCTCAAAATGCGTACTGGACCGTACTTGTGTTCTCGTGTACCCATTTCACATCATCTTCCATTGCTGAAGACAAGTTCCAATTCTCAAGAACAGAATAAGTACAGAGGATGGTAAAAATACCCGGATGTCCTTCTTGCCCAGCCCCTAAGTATCAAGGATGCATCGCTTGCATCCACCCGGAACGAGACCAATTCCATGACTCATTGCACCTCTAGTTCGTTTTTGGAAGGCAAGTTGGCAAAACTGGTCTTACCGAAACACAGATACGATCTTTGCATTCTTGGTATTGAGAAACGCTCCATGACTTACTCCGGATGTATCATTAGTAAAAATGGGGGGCGGGGGGGCACACAGTACCTTCTCTGGAGTCAGGCATCTCATGTTGGTGGAGGAGAGGATGTGCTGCAGGTACTCATACAGGTCCGCGATGTTCGTGTTCACCGTGACCTGGAGAGGCAGGGCACGTGTCGGTTTTTGCCAAACTTTCGGTAGTGTGACCCTCGGACTTTCGGCAGACAACGTCCTACCTTGTTCTCCCACTCAAACTCGGCCCACATTTGTCTGAACTCGGCATCAGTGCAGGAGGCTGACTGGATGTAGTCCATGATGTCTATGTGGATGTCACTCAGCACCACACAGTTCCTGTCGCTGGCCGCGCCTGACACGTCATAGACTGGGATGCAAAGACACCCAGTTATGACAGCATAGGTCGACAGATTGCTAAGTTACTAATAATGTGAAGGTTACCACATCAGGTCCCGGGAGGGGCTCCTTAACCTCAATTGCTCCAAAAAGTAACAAAAAAAATCTCTCACTGAATAAATGCAATAAGTATCATCCACTGCTTTGGATAAAAGAACCAGCCGACTAATCAAAATGCAAGCCGCAGGTTCAAATCCCAACAGGGGTTCTGCTACAATTAGCCAGAAGCTAAACCCTTTAGTTAAATAACAAAATACCTAACTGGGTAATTTAGTGAGCAATGGGCTCATTGTCTCTGATAAACGTACCTGACTTAATACAGAAAGAGTTGGAACAGCTCTCTTCTCTAAGAGGGGGATAATGAGGTCTAACCTATGTTTCCAAAGATGATGCCATTTTCTGTGGACGCCACTTTGACGTTGGCCTTGATGTTGGTGAAGTCGTGGGGAGCCAGTGTGAGGGGGGAGGGCTTCTCCACTAGCTTCAGGTCACCTGTCGGGGTCACATCAACCAAAGTCAGTGTCACGCATTACACTCCATCTACAGCACAGCGATATAATACCCAAATTTGTTTAGATTACATTAGATTCAGCTTTGTTGTCATTGCACAAAGTACAAGTATTCAGACAACTAAATGCAAGTTTGGTGTCTAATTCGAACCAGTGTGATTTGGTTGAAAAATATTATTAAGAAAAATACATAAAGTAAAAAAATAAATATAGTATATAACTGTGTGTGTTCATTGTGTAACATGTTTTAAGCTGACGATTCCACTGCCTTTAATTTGACAAACGACAAATCATAGCTCAATTTTGTGCAAGTAATTTTGTTTTTACAACATACACTTAACATTTCCAAAACATTGTAAAGCACAGAAACAAATATGTGGACGTTGTGATCACTGAGGTGAGGGTACACACACACACACACACACACACACACACACACACACACAGATAAACAGATGAAGAGCCGCGATAGTGCCCAGGGAAGGGAGCATACCCAGAGTGGCCAGCTCCAGCGTACAATTCTGCAGGGTGTCACTGGTCTGGTTGACGACCAGCACATCCAGCACTATGTCGTACTGGTTGACATGGACATAGGCCTCTGCGTACACTGGGTCAGAGAACCCAGTCAGCTGGGTGACCTGCAACGGAACGTCTCCAAGTGTCATTTGGGGTTAATTTGTACAGAGAATGTCCAATGACGACACCTCAAACGTACAATCACCCCCAGAATAACAGTGCTAACCAGAATGTGAAATTAATTTGAAGGACTGAGCCTGAAAACAGGTACAGCACAAGGACTGAAGGACCAACAGTACTGTTACACTGTCACCACTGAAGGCAACCTTAGGAATCGCATCAACTATTGGGCACAAGTGCCATCTACTGGAAAAATACAGGAACAAACACTGTACACTGAGGAAGCAGTAACACCTCGAGATTTAGCAACCATAAAGATATCCTGCGAAATTACAAATTGAACAGGTGTCTTGAATACTTGAATACTTACTTTAGATCCAAAGAAATCATATCCATTATTAGTTACCAGTTTTAATAGGGTTGCAAAATTCTGGGGATTTTCCATTATTTCCCATGTATTCCCAGTAATTCTCATGGAAAGTTTCTAACATCAAATATATCCAAAATTTCCTAGCTTAACTTCCCACGAAAAGGACAGTTTCTGGAAATTTACCGCCCTTTTGCAACCCTATTTAATAATACTTTTTGACACAAGGGACATGCAGGTACCTTGTTGAGCTTAGAGGCCGATGGGTCGGTAGCCTCCTTCCTCTGCGTGTTGCCCATAGCCGCGAGCAGGCTGAGCTGGAACTGGTCCTCCTTGGAGGCCGTCTCGCTCTTGGCAGTGAGCTGCATGAAGGTGAGGGGGTCGTCGGCCTGCACTGTCACGCTGCGCTTCTCTGACTCTTTCTGCAGGGAGAGACAGAGTGAGTTTAGAAACCTTTGAACCAAGCCTGTTAGAGTTAAATTGTGCCACAGGTTAAGGATTTCACTAGTCTGGAAATGTTTCTTCCGTTAGTGTGCATCTTATACTTATATTTGTAACTTTGGAATTCCAGTGTCATGTTTACAAACCAAACTTTCCTAGAACTTACTGTCCAGCTGTTCACGCTAGTTTTCTCTAAGACAGGACTGTGAAATCTTCCAGGATGACTTTACTATGATATCCCTGCTTCTTGTGTTAATACAGATATTTATCCTCTTTGCTATTAAAAACAGGATGAGCTGAAGTATTTTGTTGCTAATTAGCACCCAAGGGAGCATCCATCTCATAGCCATGGACAAAAAAACAGGGCATTCCTCATGAACTTCCTGGCTGGGGGGTGAACAGTTGCATTAAAACAAACTAATTTATTCACTAGTGACTCTACTGGTCCACAAGTTCACAGAGAAAGGCTCGAGTATAAAAGTTTGAGGTACAATGAAGATGGATGGAGCACATCAAACTAGTAAAATCAAAAAATAAAATCAAAATGGACAAGAAGTCCTGACGCGGCGTCCCTGCTAATGTGACGGGGAGCCCCACCTTTTGCGAGAGCTTCTCCTCCTCCAGCTTCACTGTTAACATGTGCGACAGTGAGCTGCGGCACTCCTTGTTGAAGATGTCATCCATGAGTGGCGAGCACTCAGACAGCACCTTGATGCACAGCGAGATGCGGTCCACGTCGTCGTCCGTGATCGGCTTCTTGGCCAGCGACGACTTGCCCAGGTGGAGCACGGAGGCCATGATCAGCATGGCTTCGGCCACAAAGGACTGTGGGTAAAATGGGGGGAGGGAGGAAACAGGGGGACCGTGCGGAGAGTGAGATGGCAGTGTGAAGCCATAGACATAGACAGAAACAAAAGGGTTTCCTCCAGAGCTCACATTTTGCTTCCTTTTATCTGGGATGATAGACACATAGCGAAGGGCAAGTTTGGTCAGGGTGGTCGCCAAGGCAGCAGCAACGTAGAAATCTCCATCCATCAGGAAGCCCCTTAGGGGAGGTCTACAACAAATACATTCTCTGTTACCATTTAGGGAACAAAATTACAATCATTAAGAAAGGCATTATGGAGTTCAAAAGTTCACCCTACATCTGTGCACACTAAAATTGTCTCTTCTACCTGTCCTCATCCTTCTTAGTGGGTCTTGTGGAGACCAAGGCGCTCTGAGTCACATAGGTGCCCATCTCCGTCACCAGTTTCTGCGCGGGGGTCACCGTCGCCTCATCCTCAGGCTTGATCTCGCCCAGCTCTCTCTTTAACTCATTCTCCACGATCGGGATCTGCGCGTGACACAAAGGGGGGTAAACGACTCATGAAGCACAAGAAATTAAGCATCTTAATCCGTGTAGTAAGTGTGCATTACATCAGTAGTATGGTGTATATATTGTGTGGTTATATATCACAAACGGGCAGCACTCCGAATTTTACAGCCTTGCTGAAAGCCCTCACCTCTCCTAGGGACCTTCGGATTTCTGTCATCACGCTCTGGATGTCCTCCTTGGTGCAGCAGTACTCGCCCAAAATCCACAGTGCTCCCCTGAAAATCCTGCCAGAACACCGACACGGTCACACAGCGTCCATACTGTGGAGATCTAGGCCATGCAGACATGGGAATTGTGGAGGGGAGGACTGAACAAACCACCGTTTCTGTAGTGACACACTGGATTTTGAGCTCATGGCTGGCTAGCTACAAACCGATTTTTCTACGATTCAATTCCATTAATCGATTATTCAATCATTTTCATAACCTAAATGCAAACCTTTTTTATCTTCACTGAAGAAAATTCACAAATATGGCCATGGGAACTCCATTCTCTCTATTAATTGCATACAAAGAAGGATCAATGCAGCTGAATCACCACTTTAATAACCAACTCATCAACGTGAACGATGCGTCTCTACATCCCCAACCGAAAGTAATATTTTGATGCTCAGCCTACAGATTTCACGGTGATGCCCAATAAAATCTAACTAGGGCTGAGTGCCTGCGTATCTTCATGGGAGCATGTAGTTCACGGTATGGTTTCTTTCTGCCTAACTGCTCAGAGACAAAAACGGCCGCGAGCTTGTGTCTGAGTGTGGTCGGCTTACTTCACGGCCTTGATGGAGTGGAACACCTCCAGTAGCTTCTCAAAGACAAGAGGCCGCAGGCCATCGAACCTCTGGATGGCCTCCCTGATGAACTCCAACACGTTGGTGGCGGCTGCCTCGTTGGTGTCGCTCAGGAACTCCATCAACTGAGGGGGAGCACAGACGGCACCGATTCGTCACAAGGGCCGAGGAAGGCAGCTGTGCAGGTCCAGCGGTGGGGGCTGGGGCCCCACACCGAGCTGGACCCCCGCTGGAGCCAATGGGGCGGGGACTCACCACGGGGATGACATTAGCCGCCATGTCGGGGAAGCGCACGCTGCAGGAGTGCAGCGTCCGTACCAGCAGTTGCCTGTATTTATCCGTGTCCTCATGTTCGGTCACATTATTGGTCTTGATTACCTCCTTCTTCAGTACGATCACGAGCTGTAAGGTACATGGCATTGTGGGTAAAAAGGCTTGCCGTGTGACTCAGGATGGCAGCCGGGCTCAAACAGAATAGCTCATCTTCATCATCACCATCCTCATCATCGAGGAAGAGAGGACATCTTTTATGACTCTGCACAATTACCGGAGCAGAACAGTAAAACGTACATAAATTATTTAAAAAACACTTTTTAATGTGCTGGCATGGCTGGCCATCTCCCGTGGCCACAGACGCAGACGCCTGGGGAAACATACGCACCTCCTCCACGTTGCGAGATGAAACCAGGTCCAGAGCCAACTGCAGGGTCTTTTTCCGGACTTCCAGGTCAGGCGTTGCCAAGACTCGCAGGATGTCCATGACCAGATCCTGCACGGCACAGGTGAGCACGACACTGTTGGGGTTTGTGCTGATTTATACCCCTATGCCGCACCTGCGGCCAAGCCAGACTTCAACATTAATAAATACATATCACACTGCAGGGAAAAAAATGGTTCGAACTACAGTGTGAAAAGGGGAAAATACACAGATAAGTCCTGTGACTGAATAAGGGACTCTGGGATTAGGAGGAAGCCAGGCCGGTGCGAATGACACTTTAGAGATTATTTGAAAGACACTCAGGCAGTATAGAGTGTCGTAGCTTTAGCTTCAATAGTGTTTTGTGTGCAATAACATTTTGCTTTGTGAGATTAGGCTATAGACATAAAACACTCTCTCCCACAGGTCACATTAATGTATAAATGTCTGAAGTAAACGTTTCACATGTTCCTCCCCTGTGACGGGATGGCATGCTTGTCCATCAAAGGCCACACACTAAGGGTAACTAAGAGACAGAAATTCATGGAGAGGAGAGTGTATAGCGGTCACTGCTAAGCCAGTCCCTGCTTTAAATCACATTAGTCACAGTATACGAATAAGCGATACCATCTCTAATGAAGAGATGATACAGTCTAAAAGCACAGAGACTAAAAATACACACTTCCTGTTTTTGAAGCCCCAGTGAAATCCAGCCATATACATGTGTGGGTGGGGTTGGGGTTAGGGTTAGGGTTAGGGCAGCAGTTCCTCAAACATGTGGCGTGGGTGGGGTTAGGGTTAGGGCAGCGGTACCTGGAGCACGCGGTCGTGGGTGGGGTTCTCCTTCAGCTCAACCAGGCGATCCAGGACAATAAGCTTGACGTTATTATCGCTCTCCTTGATGATTAGGTCAATGTAGCACTGAGCGGCTGCCTGGAACCCGGAGACACAAGGTACGGCCAAAACTTACTCTACTATTCTCCCTCTTGAAACACTAAAACATATTCACAGAGAGTAAACATTACGAGGATTAATATTACCTTGCACTCAAATCTTATAGGTAGCATATAAATAAAAATGTACAAACCCAGCTTTTTAATACATAACAGAAAAAATAAAAAAAGAAAAAATAAATCTGAAATCAATATTTCATACATTACATAAATAAAATTCAAAACATTGCAGGAATTTCTGGATGCATATGGATTCTATTGAAGTCCCAAGGATACTTTTTTTTAACGGTTTACTGAACATATAAAGGAGAACCGCGAGTCTCAGCAGGGGCCCATTGGGGCCCATTAGAGCCCAGTGGTACCTTGATGGCCGTGGGTGCGCTGGAGAGGGTCACCAGTGTCCCCGCTGCTTCGTACTTGACAGCGGGGCTGGAGGACTGCAGCAGGTTGTAGATGCAACGGATGAAGCGGGCACGCTCCGACGGGTTGGCGTGACACACCTGTGCGGGTGGGGGGGGGGGTTATGAGATCACAGATCACAGCCAGCAAAAGTGCTTGACTAAATCCCTCCTCAGGATGGAGTTTACAGGAGCATGTGGAATTCCTTTTACCCAATATGATCAGACTTTATAGCTTCTGACCATCAGGTATGTAACATTATTCATACCGTCACCCTTTGTTTTGTCTTTCTGGACTGTTCTATCCAGACACTGTAATCACAGGTACCAAATTACAAGATCAGCACCCGCTCCTTCACCTTGTAAATTAGCTCCACGATGACCAGCTGCAGAATGTCCCCGAAGGTATGGACCTGGTCGATGCAGGTGCTCAGGTAGTCCAGTGCTCGGTCCTGCAACACACAGGGAAGAGAAACAAGTAGATCTCCTCTGACGTTGGAAGGACACGCCTTGACACATGGAAGGGGAAAACCTTAAACCTCTACACGCCCCCCCCCCCTATTTTACCTGGTCTGCGTGAATCAGCATCATGAAGGCATTTCTCTTACAGCTGGCATCTTTCTCGTTCACCAGAAAATCGTGGATGAGCTCCGGGGCATCAGGAATCAAATTCTCAAAATTCCTGCAAATAAAAAAGAAACAACTCAGTTACACATTCCTAACACAAGGGGCACTAGACTACCGGAGCCCAAATGTCTGTCCAAATTCACACAGTTGAGACCTATGTTCTCATTAGTTTTAAGAAGTGGTCCATCACACAGGCTCAAGCACAGACTATTTTGCACCTGTATATAGTGTAGACGGCCAGCACAGCATTCCGTCGCACGTAACTATGGCGATGTTCCAGGCAGGCGCGGATGGCTGGCATCAGGGGCTCCAACAGCTCTGCCTCCTTCAGTTTGCACAGGAAGCGCAGCGTGGAGCCGCGGATGAACTCGTTGGGGTGCTGCAGGTCCTGGAAGGGGTAGACTGAGTCTCAGCAAGCCACCGAGGTGCAGTTCTCACCGCACCCCACCCCACCCATCTCCCCCCTGGTCCCTGGGTACCTTCCGATAGGCATCACAGACCAGGATCATCTCCTGGAGCAGCTTGCCATCTGGTGTGGTCTTGGGTACAATCTCCCAAAAGACCAGGAGAAGCTTCTTGATGGTGTGGTCTTGCAGAGGAAGAACGAAGCGGATGATGGTCATCAGCAGTCCGGGCAGCTTCTCCCCATTCAGGATCATGATGATCACCTTCTTCAAAGCTTCGGTCTTGGCCTTGATTTCACCCTTTTCTGTATTTGAAGCAATCAGAGGTAGAAATTTCAGGTCCAGAAAGTATAAATCCAGACCAAGATTTTGTTTCAACCAACCTCTTCAGTACTCTATGACTGGATGTCTTCAGCTGGATGGTGGATAACAAAATATTGCCCTAGATTTGTACTTTCCAAACCTAAACTTTCTACCTCTGGAAGCAAACATGCAAATAAAGTATAAATAATTCTGGGCTTTACACCTTTAGGAGTGGGAGGTTAGGATTCTGATTTTTTCTAATTATGTGATCAGATCAAGAAACCTGCAATCACAGTCACAGATGTCAACTCATCAGATACTTACCTAAATCTGCTTTCAGGCTGATTTCTGATGGAGGTTCTGAGTCCGTCTGCACGTTTATAAGGGTATAACACACATTTTCTGCGGCTGTCATTGTGCCGATTGGGATGTCTTCTTAGAAGACTCCGGTTGATATTCCCCTCTGATGATTCTCTGCAGAAATCCATTGAAATGGATAGAATGAATCTAGTTTTAATGGAGCTGAGATGAGATGTTTAAGGTTATAGTTCAGACTTATTTCATCTGGAGAACAATCCCCTGTCCTACAACCGGTGGGATAATTATTCAATGTGTGATCAAGAAAACCACTCAAGTGGTTATGGGTACGGTGTTGACCTTCTTACCACCCTCAGCATCGCCACGTTGTTCTTGTCTGTCAACCTGCTACTCTGGCTATGTCCAGTGCATCCGGAAAGTATTCACAGCGCATCACTTTTTCCGCATTTTGTTATGTTACAGTCTTATTCCAAAGTGGATTAAATTATTTTTTTTCCTCAAAATTCTACACATAACACCCCATAATGACAACATGAAAAAAGTTTGAGATTCTTGCAAATTTATTAAAAATTTAAAAAACTGAGAAATCACATGTACATAAGTATTCACAGTCTTTGCCATGAAGCTCAAAATTGAGCTCAGGAGCATCCTGTTTCCACTGATCATCCTTGAGATGTTTCTTCAGCTTAACTGGAGTCCACCTGTGGTAAATTCAGTTGATTGGACATGATTTGGAAAGGCACACACCTGTCTATATAAGGTCCCACAATTGACAGCGCATGTCAGAGCACAAACCAAGCATGAAGTCAAAGGAAGGCACATATCTGGGGAAGGTTACAGAAAAATTTCTGCTGCTTTGAAGGTCCCAATGAGCACAGTGGTCTCCAACATTCAAAACCACCAGGACTCTTCCTAGAGCTGGCCAACCATCTAAACTGAGCAATCGGAGGAGAAGGGCCTTAGTCAGGGAGGTGACCAAGAACCCGATGGTCACTCTGCTCCAGAGGTCCTCTGTGGAGAGAGGAGAACTTTCCAGATGGACAACCATCTCTGCAGCAATCCACCAAACAGGCCTGTATGGCAGAGTGGCCAGACGGAAGCCACTCCTTAGTAAAAGGCGCATGGAAGCCCACCTGGAGTTTGCCAAAAGGCACCTGAATGACACTCAGACCATGAGAAACAAAATTTTCTGGTCTGATGAGACAAAGATTGAACTCTTTGGTGTGAATGCCAGAAGTCATGTTTGGAGGAACCCAGGCACCACTCATCACCAGGCCAATACCATCCCTACAGTGAAGCATGGTGGTGGCAGCATCATGCTGTGGGGATGTTTTTCAGCAGCAGGAACTGGGAGACTAGTCAGGATAGAGGGAAAGATAACTGCAGCAATGTACAGAGACATCTTGGATGAAAACCTGCTCCAGAGTGCTCTTGACCTCCAGACTGGGGCGACGGTTCATCTTTCAGAAGGACAACGACCCTAAGCACACAGCCAAGATATCATAGGAGTGGCTTCAGGACAACTGTAAATGTCCTTGAGCGGCCCAGCGAGAGCCCAGACTTGAATCCAATTGAACATCTCTGGAGAGATCTTAAAATTGCTGTGCACCGACGCTTCCCATCCAACCTGATGGAGCTTGAGAGGAATGGGCCAAACTGCCCAAGGATAATTGTGCCAAGCTTGTGCATCATATTCAAAAAGACTTGAGGCTGTAAGGTGCATCAACAAAGTATTGAGTAAAGGCATATGATTTCTCAGGTTTTTTTTATTTTTAATAAATTTGCAAAATTCTCAAACTTTTTTCACGTTGTCATTATGGGGTGTTGTGCGTAGAATTTTGAGGGGGAAAAAAGGAATTTAATCCATTTTGGAATAAGGCTGTAACATAAGAAAATGTGGAAAAAGCGAGGCGCTGTGAATACTTTCCGGATGCACTGTATACTGCGTAATAATTTCAGACACCTAAGCGTTAAGCATCATAACGGAGGGCACATAATAAGCAACCAAAGGTCAATCAAACAGGGTAACTAGATAATGCCCAGTTAACTAGTTTATGTTCGTTCATTACTTCGCAGTTTTTATTGGCCGTATTTTATACAGCCTAAAATAATACTCCAAGGTCAGGTAAACTATCTGAAATGAAATGCCATCTCACACAAGTCACGGAAAGTGTCATCAAAGTATTTCGCTATTAGATTCGCGTCCACTACGGAGGCTAAGTGACACAAAACCTGCACAAATGTCCAAAATACTGTACTGTAGCCCAGCATGCAAAATATTCCTGCTTTGCATGTTACATGACGTTTTTCACTCGGACAAGAAGTTAGCAGGTACCACCTGGTTTAGATATGCTACCTACTCCGCTAATCACCTTTAACGAATTTAACACCAAGACAATAAGAAACACGACACGGAATGTATTTCAAATGCCTTTTACGATTAATTTACGATTTAATAGCAGGCGACTGCTTGTTCCACTACTTACCTGTTTTTACCTTCTACCCCGCATCGACTGTTTCCATATGACGTGGAGGTTCCGCATTCCGGACCGACTCGTTGAATGGGTAGCGAAGAGGGACAAACAGTAGAAACGCCATATCGCCAACGCTTTTGTGCCCATAGTGTACCCAAACTTTGTGTTCTGTGCTACCTGGGATATGGTCTAGTCAGTCGTAGTTCACAAACACACACTTTTTTTTTCGGCCATCAGACTTTATAATACCTCAGTCATCTAAAGTTCATAAATTATGTCACTATTCTGTATATTGTGCAATACAACTATAGTTACATGACTGTATGTACAATCTGTATGTATGTGTATATGTATGTATGTGAATTTTGGGTCTGTGCAATATGTGTAATTGTGTGCATTAATTTTATTATTTATTGTATGTTAGTTTTTTTTTTTTGTCTGTTTCTTTTCAATTGCTTTTTATTTACTGGCTGTTGCAATATCCCCAGTGTGGGATCAATGAAGTCTTATCTTATCTTACCTTATCTTACACACCTGTCATCCCCAGAATATAGCAACCAACCTGAGCGCTTGAAGCATGTTTGAACCCACATATGTGGTGATGTGAGGCTACGTCGCTAGAAGCATGACCACCGCGTCACATTTCTGTGGTTACATAATTTTTTCGTATTTAAAACCTATAATTATGCATCATATTGCTACATCTGCTGCAAATCATACCTTAAACAGCAAATACTAAAGCAATGGACCAGGCACACACACTCCTTTGAGAGCAACCGCATGTATAAAAAATGAATTAGGTTGGACTAATTAACATATCACTTCTCATCCCATATTTCGACTATTTTTTAGTGTTTTGTTTTCCTTTTTTTATTTAAGAAAAAAAAAAACCTCAGATTCTTGTCATATATGTGTCAATGGAAACAGTAAAGGACTTTCCACTGATTAAAAAAAAAACATTCTGCAGTATAATTTTCCATCTTTCCCCTGTCCTGTTCTGCCTTCCTAGTATGTCATTACCTATAGCATTATTTATTTGAATTATGGCTATATGGTGTACTTCAAAAGAAGCAAGCGGATTTAAATATTTAATTCCTGAATTCAGGTAACCTGCTATATAAGTTTGCATTGCTGCGAGTTCCCCCAGCGAAAGCTTGAATCATCCTCATTAAATACGTGAACTAATTCCAGTCACGGTAATGTAATGTCATTTTACTGAAATCATCAAGCTACTTCATAGATCCATATGCATAATAAGTGATACCACTCTAAATATAGTTCATATTGGAAAATACAAAGTCATTAACTGTGGGGTGTGGCAAGAGGCTACTGCTCCTGCAGAAGGATACCTTAATGCATTCCCTGACAAAACAGGTTAATCAGACAACGCAGTGTCTTTTAATTCATTTTGGGAAGCAGTGCCCTTTGAACGCTCAGGCGGAAAGCAAACAAAGACATGACACCAGAGGCTTTTTCAAAAACAAACATGAATTCCTGCACTTGTTGTAATTGAAACTGCATTTTGCACAATAAATTTCTCAGTACAAAACAAATTAACTGCCGTGGGATTTCTGTGCAATGTTTCCAGATTTTCCCATGCAACCCAATTCACAGGCGGACTATATCTCCGTGGACATGGCCGCTGAGTGACAGAGGTGGGTGGCTGGGGAAAGAGCTCTATGATGACGGCCTGTGAGGTAGAGTGGGCCGGCTTAGTGCTCCATAGGCTCCTCAGCCTTCTCCGCTGCCGGCTCCTCTGGAGGTGGGGCAACCTACAGCACATGGGTAAGAGGAGCAGCACTTGTGAACCCAACAACATCATACCCAGCATTCACCCTCCCCAGCAGCAATGAAAATCTTCAGTCTCACAATTCATACAAATCATACATCAGTCCTCTAGGGTCGCAAAATTCTGGACATTTTCAAAGTTGGAAACTTTCCATGGGAATTAACGGGAATATATGGGGATTAATGGGAATAAAATGAAAATTTCCAAAACTGCAGGTTAGCCTACAAGAGGGAACTTAAATGTAGTTGGAAAAAAAGACATATTGATACAATATCACAACAGTAATTTGTGTAACCAAGTGCTTGTGAGTAATTGTGTGTGTAAAAACATCCCAAAATAAGCATCTGCATCAAAACGCACTGCTTATAAGTCATATTCTATGTTTCATTATTCATATACTGTAGTTTGTTTTCTTTGCTGTATGACAGCTCGTACAGAGTTCCGCATTTCCAAAATTCCCCAGCTTAGCTTCCCATGGAAAGTTTTTGGAAATTTTCTGCCCCTTTGCAACCCTACTTCTCATGGAAAGTTTCTGGAAAGTTGACACTGCATTTCCTAGATAGACCCTGAACAATCATGGCAGGTATTTGCAACTTTACAACACCCCAAGAATCTCACACCACTGCTTCTCCACCTTAAAGTTCTCATTGTATCTCACTATTTGCTTGGACTGTCTTCACTACTTCGTTGAACTATGAGAGAAAGTTTCTAACAAGAGTCCACTCCACCCTCACCATTAGTAAAACATATTTTACACCAGAAAGTGTGCTGAAAACCTCATGTTCCAACATGTTTTATCAGACTGACTGCTGGTTTGCTACCTCATCCTGAGTATTAGTTTCTCTTAAAAACCCTGACGATGTATCCATTACAGATGCAAATTTACCAATCATCATTGACTTGTTCCAACTTGTAACAGTTAAGTTTTAAAGGGGACTAAAATTTAAAGGTCTCTGTAAATTCAGGAATAATCAGTTGTACATAATCAGTATTGCAATTTTGTTTATATCCACGAAAAGCTTGACTAAAATTGAGTGGGAGGAAAAGGGATCTTGCTTGAAAAATGTGAAGAGCAATACTATCCTTGATATAACCAAGTAAATGTTTTTTTACATTTTGCAACTAGTTATTACATTCTGCATGCTTCACTTCATAGGCTTCTTGTTTTAATTATACAATGCAGCACAATCTTCAGTACCAATCAATAAGCACATGGCAACAAAACCCTTAAAGGCATGCTACTGCAATGCAAAATCACAATATTATTTTGGAATATTCCTTCCAAAGTGACAAGGAAAACACATACACCATTTTCACCATCTGCATGCATCATCCATACCTTTCTCTGGGGTCTCTCTTCAAGGCCTTCTAGGAACTGGGCCACATCATCGTCATCGTAGATGGTGAACTCCATATCCTTTCCTACAATCCCCACAGACACGTTCTGGAATAAACAGAAACACCAGGTGATCCCTTTATTTCCAGGCAGGACACTTTTAGTGCGGTTAAGCAGCCATTTCACCACCAGTTGTCCTTACTTTAGTGGTGAGATCCTGCTCTGTGGGGAGGGTCTCCCTCAAGGCAAGCAGACCATGTTGGACCAGTTCATTCAGGCTGGCTGGAAGACAACCATGGGAACCTTTGGGTGAAACACTCCATCATCAGCTGGGACAACAAGAACAATGGCGTTTTACTCACAGTCAGGGAAACGATCCATTTTCTGTTCCAAGTAAGTACGGGCAGACTGAGAGCGGGCACCGATGGACATGGCCTTGCAGTCAAAATAGTTAGCTGAGGGACACGTCTGGAAGATGTGTGGCCCCATGTCCTGGGAGCGAAAGGGGAAGAATCCATTCCAAATGTACCTCTCAGTGAATCAGGGTTCTTCAATTAAAATGCTACTTATTATCAAGAGGCTTGATAGTGACAGAGCAGAGGAACGCACCAGATACATGGTAGAGTGGATGTACTTAACCCACCACACTTCATGATGAAGAGCAAGCTAAGGTCTACTTACATCATAGCCGGCAATGAGCAGGCCGACTCCGTACGGCCGCCTTCCATACCTCTGCGTTGGAATTTGGGTTTCTGAAGAAGCAGTCAAGGGCAAAGCTTTGTACTGCAACAGTACAGCATTAGAAGAACACTTAACTGCTTCAGAGAGAAGGGATCCACAAAACAGCATTCACATTACTGAATGTCAAAAGCTGAATTTCAGGTTATATGATTATGAAAGTGAAATTCTGAAGGATACTGCTTCCGATTAGGGCGACCAGGCGAGACACGGGGAGCGGTCGGTCAAACACAAACCGGGAGTCAAGGCACTCCTGACGCATGAAGTTACTGTAGATAAGTGAGAGAACAGAAGAGGCATCACAAGTGGTGTGGCTGCCTTGGTAATGCCCACCAATGGTGCTGAACTTGCAATTCTGCTGACCAGAGGAGCCTGGCGTCCGCTGTCAAGCCTGCGATGGAGATGCCCACGTGGTCGTCCACATGAAGAATCTTCTTCTGGTGAGCAGCCAACTCTGACTGGGCCCTCTTGGAAAGAGAAGTGCCAAACAGCATTAATTACAGCAACAACAAAAAAACATGCTTTTGTTATTTGCCCCCAAAAAAGAACAACTTTCACTTATAATGCAAAGTGATTATGACCAACAGAACAAGTAGATTGATTTCTAACTTCCATTACAACATTGCCCAGTCCAGGCAATGTCAGTATGAATCTATTACAGACAGAAGTAGAATGTTCTGGCCCAGAAAGGAAAAATCCAAACCAAGGTTTTGTTTCAACCAACCAATTGAGTACTCTGTGACTGTGACTCCTCATACTCAGCTCGCAGGCTGAAAAAAAAAACTTGGTCTGGATTTGTACTTTCTGGACCTGAACTTTTCACCTCTGTCTGTAATGAATTACTTTTTTAACTTCCCCAACACTGATGAGTCCTATGTGCAGTATACGGATCAAAGTAGCAGAAATCTTTCTATAGCCAACAGACATAATTCAAGCAGCAAACCATTAACAGAGTGTTTCCCAACCCGGTACCCAGGGACTCCCAGAAAGTCCAGATTTTTGCTCCCTCCCAGCTCTCAGCCAATCAAGAACACCAAATATCTGTAACGAATGTTCTCTGGAGATGGAAGAGAACAAAAAGGAGGACTGTCTGGGGTTTCAAGAGGACTGGGTTGGGAAACACTATACTGCTTGGTCCACCGCAAAAAAAAATAATGTCATCTTTGAAAGATCCCACGTCTTTCATAAATATACTACCTTAATATCTGAGCTGAGTATTTAAGACGAAAATCTGAAACATGGAAAAGCAGACAAAGAGCCCCATACCTTAAGGGCCACAAGCACAGCATGGGTCCGCGACTTAAGCCCCACAGTAGCTGATCCCTGCTTCACTGCCTCCATGGCGTATTCAATCTGATGAATACGCCCCTGAAACACATACACCACCATTTATTTGTATTCTCTAAACCGCTTAACACAAATCTTATGAATATTACATTTAAAAGAATTTAGCTATCTGAATTAGTGTTGGGCGATATATCGATAAAATATTGTGTCGTGATTATGAACATGTATAGTCATACATTTGAATATCACGAGTGTCGTGATATAGCCTAAAAGCTCATTGTCTTGCATAATTGACAGTTATAATATACTATTTTAAAACAAATTCCATAAAGGTGTGAGTCTGTTGTTGGCCTCATTTATCATTATACCTGTCACACACTCCATAACTATTAAAACAATTTGGTCATTATAATCAGAAAAACTCAAAACCACCTCTCATATTTTACTGTTTTCTACATATGAATTTTAGAACACCGTGATAAACATCAAAAATCGTGAAAATCTCTATAAATATCATTTTTAGGACATATCGCCCAGCCCTATCCTGAACACAGTTTTGTCCTGACCTAACAGCATTATGTGTTAATACAGACTTACTTTTGCTGAATTATGGGATTATGAAGCATAGCAAAATTGCCTACTTACCTGAGGACTCCAAACTGTAACATCGTTGTCATACTGGTTACGAAACTAGATTGATTTAAAAAAAAAAAAAAAAAGGAAACAATTGTGAGCTTAATTTTTAAATAGACCTATATTTTTGTCCCATACATACTTACCGAATTGTCTTGATATTGCATCTCGGAGGACTATACCCACACAATGAACATCCTCTTCTACGTCCTTATATACCACAACATATAAAATGTCCAGCTTGTGAATAATTAACAGGGCTGTTTTACACATACCATCTGTTCTTCAGTCTCACTTGACATCACTTCTTACCTTGACAGGAAAATTGGTTGCTCATCTCCTCACTACTTGTTACTTAGCAATGTTTTTACAGTGGGATTAGTATATATTTATGCCTAATCAAAATGGGCAAGAATCACATTACCGATAAGGATGCGACTGCAGCATGGAAATATGATGGTTCATATAATGTTATTTACAACTACAAATGTGTTTAAATGATTACATCGATTCCTTCCAATTAAGTGTAGTGAAATACATGTGTATGATTGTTACATGTATGCTTGCCCAGTTTCATATTAGTTACAAGTCTAATATGACTGGGGCGACCATATTTTGCAAAAAGCGGACAGCGAGGGCAGGACACAAAGAGAGGCGTCAAAGCAACGCAAATACGCCTACGGATAGTACTTTGTAAAAAGCAGGGATGCCAACTTTGGGCAGCTGACTGAGATTTTCAATTCGAGATAAGTCTGCACGCACATGCACACGAATGTACATACATGTAAGACTTTTATTACGTTGTAAAAAGTCTGCAGGGTTTGCAAACTGCCCCAATGCTTCCGATGCAGCTAATTTAGGTTTATAATAGAATAAGATTTCCTGCGTGAGTCTGAAAAGGTGAGTGTCGCGCCATTTGCGTGAGAGTTGGCAGCAATGACTAATGGTCACCCTAACATAACCACACATAATTAACATCGTTCGGATTTTCGTTCCCCTCTTCTCTGAATATAAGGCATGATGCTCAGTTTCTCCATGTACCCGCCATTAGTTTTAGATTCCAATGAACGAACTTGAAATCGAAAGTAAAATTAATTTCCCAGAAAAAATTGTATGTTCATACAATTGTATTATATGTATTATATTTTTCTACTGAACGTCGCAATTATATAAGTATTTCATTTACATCCCGGATAGAGAACAAAAATATTGATGTTTATTGTGAATCACAAAGACGCCTAGCCAAGGCCTCCCTACTTGCAAAGCCTGGCTATAAAATGTAAAATTAACGTTGAATTCCCCTTAAAAAGATAAAGCCATTGCAATTTGTAAGATGTTTAAAGCCAGTGTGTGGGTTTGCTCTTGTTAAAGAGTGACTGAAACCTCTCTGCCCGCTTATATGATACAGTAGCTTAGCAGGCCGGCAACGCAGGAAACTAAACGCTTACTCACTGCCCTGTGCATTAGAGTAGACGTTCTCTAAATCAGACTTGTTTTCATCGCTCACTAGCATTACTCTTATAAATGAACATAAAACAACAATTTAGGGGTAGCTTATTACGGATGCAAAACAAAACACATTATGAACTTTTATTCATCCTTACCATTCTGTTCTCCCTGCGACAGGCACTACTTTCCTTCGTTGATCGTCGATCTGTTGCTTTTCCTGGATCTTTCGAACGATCAGGCAAAAGCAATAGATCGTAGATCTGTAAGAAAACTGATTACAATTTACGATGTATGGAGGTTTAACCCAGAGGATGAAAATATTTTTCTCAAAATATAAACACACAATGAAATTATTAATATTTATTTACATTTTTGTATGGTGCTATCATTTTACATGGACACAAAATATCTTAATCATATTTCAATCGAGAATTATAGTCTTCTAGACATTATTATCAATTTAACTGTATTCCATTCATCATCTAGCCACTCTGCCTGGTCAGGGGCGCAAGGAGCTGGAGACTTTACCAGAAAGTATAGAATATAAGGTTGGGCAAGAAGCTGCTTGTCTTTGGACTTTGTGACATGGGGAAACATACAAACGCCACATGTGATACAGGTGGAATTCGATCTAATAACCCTGGAGAGGGTGCAGCACTGGTGGAACTACAGGGAATGCATCCAGGGCCCACAGAAAAAGGGGGGCCCACGGAGGATCGATGGCCCCCTTCACGGGAAAGACCCTGAGGCTATTGATCTATTAGCATGTTACATTGCATTATAATCCAAAACTAGACCAAATTATATATATATAGGCTGACAAATCTATTTTGCTGTGTACAATTTTTAATTTTTCTTTTTTATGACAAGACGATAAAAATTAATGTAGAGTACAGTCCTTAAGGATACTTCATAAAGATGCATGGTACACCTGTAACATTTAACGGTTAGGGGCCTAGCATAGGGGCTTTGTCTGCTAGCATGGACATGAGGAGGGGGAGACATTATAAGAAGCTTAGGCCACTGGAGGGAAGCAACACTGCTAACCTCTGACCCGGCCCAATCTAAATGCGTTCTATTGGATTAATGTGACTCCATTAATTTGCTTTTACAATTAAATTTTACACCATGTAATAGCACAATTAAGTATTGTTCAGTGTGTGTGTATGTGTGTGCGTGTGTTTTCTAATGTAGAATATAAATATATTTCATTGATCCATGGATTTTGACTCTAAGCCTTGCTAGACGATGTTTATTCTGGATGTTATTATTGTTCAGTTCTTAATTGTCCTTTTATTGTGGTGCTGTCTAGGTGAAATGTATTAAATTAGAAACTTGAGCTATGCAAGTCCTATGCAACTTGTCCTATGCAGGGTTGCAGTGGCCCAGAGCCTTTTATGAGCACAATGCAGGGAAAAACTCAGGATGAGGTGCCATCATATTGCAGGACACACACACACACTCACACACACACACACACACACTCACACCATTTGTGCCCTGTGAATAAATGGCATTCCGTTCGGGTTATAAATGAGCTTTGTGCCCTGCACTGCCCAGGACAGGCTCTGGCCCGTGACCATGACCAGGACAAGTCCATGGAAGCCAAATGGATGAATGATCGTTGTTAGATCTCTTTATATCTTGTCACACCTAGGGGGCGACATAGAGTCTTTTTAACGCGCTTAATACACTACAGCAGCGGTGGCCAATCTTATCCGCAAAGGGCCAGTGTGTAAGCAGGTTTTTGGGATAACCTGTAAGTCAGCTGTTCACACCCAGGTGTGAGGACTCTTCAGCCAATCAGTTCTCTAATTAGTGATCTAATTAGGGAGTTGCAGCGAAAACCTGCATACACACCGGCCCTTTGCGGATAAGATTGGCCACCCCTGCACTACAGTAACGGTTGCAGTGGTTTGTAATTGTTGTTAAGCAATAGCAATTATGAGCCAGTAGGTAAAGTAGTATTTAAGGACAGTGGCTCATAATCTTACTGTAGCCAGTCCCATTCTGAGTAAGGACACTGCAGTTGTTCTATGAATCTCTCCAACATAATATCCATGGATAAAATTTTAAGTCGCTTTGGACAATAGCCCTATGCCACTAAATGAAAACGTCAATTGATCAATGGCCACTTAATCAGTAGCCCTTTAAAAGTTAAGTGACTAAATGGCTTATTTGATTAGAGGGTAACTTGTTCTGTTTCTTTTTTGTGGTTCCAAATGATCAATGAATAATTCGATTTAGATTGCACAAAATGTCTTTGTATCCATAATATATGTATTTTCATCACTTTAGCCCTGGGCTGGAATGCCCAGACAGGCCCACCAGACATACATACCCAAGGTACATTTTTTCAGATCGGGGGGGCACTAACCAATTGGCCCACCAGGACAATGCCGGGTATGCCAGATGGCCAGTCCAGGCCTGCTTCAGTTTACGAGTTTCAAATTCAGTTTATCATATCTTTCGATATAAGGTGAATTTCAATTAGACAACATCCCAATTAATGGTAATTATTAGAGAATCTACCAGGAGCAAAAACAGTATGCAGGGCAAGGCATGGAAATATGTGTTTTAGTGTTGGACGCAGGCAGTCAGCGTTCGGGCTGTCCGCGCATCCCTCGTGTCAAACGCGAAGTCGATATAACATCATGTCACCTCTAGGCGGCGCCATAGAGACCATCTTCGGGGGAAAAAAACAACAGTTCACCTTCTTTTCCTTTTACCCAAAATGCTCGAGTTACAGTGGCCATGGAGCGCGTTCGCTGTCATGCAATAACACAATAATACGGCGAGGGGGAAAAAACTGGGGGCAAGGAAACTTTTAACGGGAATTTAAGGGTACGCCTTGCGAAACATGGCTGTGAGAGAAGAAGGAGATGTTGTGCACAGTAAAAGCAAGCACCACGACGGGATTGGCAGTGTAAACAGCACAGAAAGCTTCAGGAACGGCTATGCGAAGGGCTGCGTCACCCCTTTAAAACAAGATCACCGGAGGGGCTTTTTATTTAACTTGTGCAGATTTTGCAATCCGGATCTGCTGGGCACCCGATTGCGGGCTACGGCTCTGTATCTCGGCGCATTTGCGGTCCTTGTCGCCTCGCTGCTTAATTCCCGGAGCTTGCAGAGTGGACTTTGCTTTCTGGATCTGCGGACTTTGCTGGGCTTTTCGCAATCCGTCAGTCCCTTGTTCAGCATCGGCTGCGCGTTTTTCTTCCTGACGTTTTACCTGAGGAGGAAGAAGCAGGAAAGTTGCAGATGCTGGCTGGCGTCGCTGCCGGCGTCCTGCTTCTTCGGGGATTTCTTGGTCGTGCAGTTTTTGCAATGGGGGGACGATCGGCAAATGCAAATGGTGGGCAGGCTGCTCTTCGTCCTGGGCTGCGTCGGTTTGCTGACCCTGATCCCGGCTCTGAAGCTCAGACACAGTGTCCTCATCCTGGTCTTCGCCAGCTCCGTGTGGCTGGTTTCCTTCACCAGTCTGGACTCCCTGCCCCCGTCCCTGAGACCCCTCTCGGCGTGCCTCGCAGGGGTTGCCGGCTCCCTCCTGGCTCTCTGCTTCGAGAACTGCTACCCATGGAGGGACGCCTCTCACAGGATCCCAAACCTGGAGGAGAAGGTGCCCGTGATCAGACCCAGACGACGCTCCAGTTGCGTTTCCCTCGGAGAAACGTCCACCAGTTACTATGGCAGTTGTAAGATGCCCCGGAGACCTTCGCTGCCCTGTATTTCCAAAGAGCAGGTATGTTCTCGCAATTACACACGAATGGCCGTTTAAATATCAGCGACTGTCATGCTATATACACTACAAAAAATAATAATAAATAGCCAGTGCAGTCTTGAACCTCTAGGAAACAATGCAAAGATGCATATTTTCATGCCATTTGCTGCACGGAGTTATTAATGTCATATCAGTAGTTCATAGGGAGTGCGCGTTTATTATTACATATCTTTCTGTTTTTTAATTGAATTATTAGGCTCCTATTATTATTATTATTATTATTATTATTATTATTATTATTATTATTATTATTCAAGTAGAAGGTGTTTACCAGTGGAATTCCGCACCTCAAAATATGTAGTTACATGTAGGCCAAACATTAAAAGTTTAAACTTCGAAAACAAGTTTCCAGAAAAGCAAATAAATAATAATAAACACAAGCTATTTTTTAATGAACTAACTACTGTTAATAACTTACCTCGTATGCAGAAAAAAATATTCATTACCGTTTTTGAAAAGTTTTGAATACAATTAAATACAGTGTGTTACCTTTTGAATAATTCAAAATTTTTATAATATATTCAGATGAATTCTAAAACTTAAAATATAAAATATAGTTAGGATGATGAAACCATTCCCTGTTTGTGTTTTCATATAATTTTTTCATGTTGTATAAGGCAAGTAAATGGTCTACTACTTAGTATATTCAATATTTTTAAGAATAAACATTAAGTATACCGGTTAATAGGTTTCGCACCCGGATGCAGAAATACAAAATTAAACCCCTATTAGGCATCATTAAAGTGAATTCAATTTTCATTTAATTGCATTTTTTTCACCTATTTGTCTTTCTTCCATTTGGCGCAATTCTGAATGCATATCCTTCAAAAATAATTAAAAAGAACAAGATTTTTAAACTGAAAAAATACAGGGTGATGAATAATATGTAGTGTACAGTAAGCACCCCAAGTACAATTTAATCGCTTTTTGCCAGTTGCCACTGAGAGATGTGGTACAGGCACTCTGAGGCCTCAGTGTCGAGTGACAGAGAAGCATAACTTCATACATCCTGTTAACATTGTCATACCCATGCTTTTAAACTGGAGCTGCTTGTTTTAATAATTTACAGTACTTTGTGCAGCTTTACTGTGGTTCTGTTACAGATTGCCCTGGGAATGGCTCATTGCTTTTGCAAAAGAAAGTCTTTCTAGACACAAAACTAACTGTGAAACATTTATTGTTTAATTCCAAAGACAGACATTTTGGTGCCAATGACAAAAGTCAGTATTTAATCATATGTTTTTGCATGTCTGTGTACGTGCATATACACACACATGCACAAATAACACTGGTAAAAATATCCCAGGTAAAAGGGAAAAAAGGGATTTAATTTCATTTTAGGGGTGTACAATTGATTTGGCTATTACATAAGTACGTGGAAATGTACTCACAGCTACATTCATACATTTGTGCAGTCAGCTTTCTGTAGTTGTCTGCTATAAGTCAGGCCTTTGTGTAAATGTGATGTCTCTTTCAAGCTAAATGTCTGCATTTACTGAGTGCCACATTTCCAGGCTTTGTTTGTAATGAAGCAGAAAAATATTTTGTCTGTGTATATGCTGCACGTTTTGAAATATGTCTGAAGGTCTGCATGTCATTTCGAAGTGGATTGTCTGAGTTTTCAATCAAAGCCTGGTGATTAAAATAACAATGTTGAAATTTGGCTTTCATTTCTGGGCAGTCCTGTCATGGTTACTGCTCTTCTTTTCAGCATACTGAATAACTTTCTCTTTAAGTGCAAGGTTGGTTTCACTTTTGGCATTGGATTGTTATAGACAAAATTGCAATCACTTGATTTATTGCAATCACTCATATGCTTTAAAAAAAAAAATCTATGGGAAGAAGTACTTGCTTAAGTGTCCATGTTCTATGGCCACCAGAAAGTCCTGTAAGCACGTTTGGTGTCTTGTTTTCCACTTGCGGTTATTATTTCACGCTTAGATAATTTTTAGTTACATGGTGCGGAAGCCCCTACACCCTGCCATGAAATACCCCCCTCAGTTTGTCCCACTGCCCCGCATGCTGAGGTGAAATACCTCTCTCTCTTTGAAATACCCCCCACCCTAATGCGAAAAGTGCTTTTCTCTGTGCCATGCTGTAATAAAGTTCCCTCCCTTTCTGACGTGATTGCCCTACTTTAGAGCTCCCAACCACCAATTAAAATCGATGTCTTAGATCTGAAGATGAATCCAGATGGTATCAAGGCACAAATACCCATATTGGTGGTTAGTAAATTACTTATCGTTCAAAAAAAATTGTGGGGCTCAAAAAAAATGGCTGTGTTGAAGTTTTGGTATTATTGATTTTTGACTTGACCTGCATTTATTGTGTGGTTTTCTAAGCATGGTAAAATTTAGGCCACAACTGGGACTTTAGGTTTTTGTGAATATTTTATATTTCAGTAATGTGTTTTTTTTTAATAATCTTTATAAAATCTAGCTTCAGATCTTGTGGTTCATCAAATGTAATGTGACCGCTGTGTTTTATACCAGGTCAGGAGAACTGCGTTTGCGTTCTCACCTGTGGGCTGGTTATCTCTGTCAGGAAGCGTGTTGCTGCCTGTTGTCGGACTCCGTCGAACAGACGGCACGGTTTTGGCGGTGCCACCGGAACCCTCACACCTAGCGTGTGTGTCTAACTCTCACCTGCTCAGTTTGGGACAGAAGACAGCAACACATGCCCGTGTCACCTGTGGCCTACGGGGGGCACCAGCCAGGGCCGTGGAGCACGGTGCAGATGCTGGCATGGGCTGGCGGGGGCTGGCGGGGGCTGGCGGGGGCTGGCGTGGCATGAGCAGCGCGGCGAAACATCCCATCGGATGTAGTTAACACCGGAGTTATTTACAGTCGAAACATCCCTGCTGATGGTATAACAACTAGCCCAGTCCTGTTTACAGTTGATACATCCCATCTGACATTATTAATAGCTATGCGTTACCAACATGCACTTTTATATATGTGGTTGCAAGGTTTGTGGCCTTTTTCCAGAGTGATTTGGCCCATAGCAACTCTGTATTAATGCCCCTCTCTCCATCACACACACACGCACACACACATGCACACACACACAGACCTGTAACCATATATTTGTGGGGATCGCGCATTCATTTCTATTGGGAAAAATGCTAATGCTGGCCATGCTAACATTTGGTCCCCACCAGGTAAGGTATCCTTGGACCACGCACACACACACACACACACACACGCACACACATACGCAACAATGGTTTCTGGGATGTGGGGTCTGTCACATGAGAGACAGTAAATACCCTAAGCCCCCACCCCTACTCTGCCTTTGTCTCTTGATATGCATATTACCAGTAAACACAGACCCAGGCAAATTACAGAACAAAGCTGTGTTCAGTTCGGTGAACAGTAAAGATTTTAATTTAAAAGATACAAAACCCAGGTATTCATGCATTGTATTATAGCATTTACTTATTTGGTTTTACACAGCTGGCTGTGATAAAATATTATAGTAGAGTTGCCCCCTGATGAAGTTCTGGCTTTGGGGATTTTTTTCTCCGAGTCTCACCTCCGTCCTGCGTGTTCAGGAGGTCACATGCTGATGCTGTGTCACTTGGGGCTCCTCTAGGTACTTCCGTTTTCTCCAAAGACGTCCAGTTCTGCTCATCAGGGTTTTTAAATTGCCCAGACTGTATGTGAGCATGCTTGTGTGTGTGTCTGTGTCTGTATGTGGATTATGTTTACATGACATTGTGGGTGACCAAATGTCCCCCACAATGTAATAAAAACCTGTTATTTGTTTTGTGAATTATATGTGAATGCAATCAGAAAACTAAAAATGCCAAAAGTCTCGTGTTTTGTTTGGTTACTTATGGTTAAGGTTAGGGCTGGGTAGGGGTTAAGGTTGTGATGTTGGGATTAGAGTTTTGCCCATAGAAATGAATGGAGAGTCCCCACAAAGATATAATTACAAATCTGTGTGTGTGTGTGTGTGTGTGTGAGCGCATGTCCCCTGTGATGGACTTGAATCCCACCCAGGCTGGACCCCAGACCTCCTGTGACCCTGACTGGGATAGGTGATGGATGGATGGATTCTCTTTGCTGTGCCGTGAGGTGCTTGAGGAGCCGCTGTTTTGTGGGGCCTGCCTGCTGTAGTGCCCATTGAGGGTGTGAGTAATGTAGAGTCTGCTGCATGGTGCTCCCTCCTCCACTGTGACCGGGGGGGGGGGGGGCACTGTGCATCGTGGGCAACTCAGCAGGGCACAAGAGTGGCTTCCATTTAGCATAAATAGCATTACAGTATTCAGATGCTCAGCAACTCGGTTTTTTAAATAATTCGGGTATGAAGGTTTTTAATTGCCTGATGCTTCTTTGTTTTGTCATGTTCTGTATTTTGGGAGAAGCGGTTGTTTTTTGGGATGCATAAAAGTGTTACTAAGTATTACATTTGCACTTCATTTAGCCGCCGCTCTTATGAGTGATGTACATTTTTGAGAAAGCGGGTCAGACAGTCTCTGGAGCAAGTGGGGGTTAAGGGCCTCGCTCAGGGGCCAACAAGCCATGCAGCACCCCCATTTGTGGTGGTGTTGCTATGATTATTATTATTAACAGCAGCTTAGCCATAATTTATGATTGTTCAATACTGTGCAATTTGAGACCAGAAGTTTTTAAAAAGTCAGAATTTCACAAGTTTTATTTTCGGAAAAGCTTTTGGTTATTATTGAATATACCTTTAGAATTGTAAAGTTGAAATAAACCCAGATGCTCGAATGGAGGCGTACGGTGCCGTGAGGACCGGGGGGGGGATTGCGGGGGGGGTTACTCTGCTCTGCGGAGTTTCGCTCCTTCATTCATAAGATACGCCTTCGGACAATAGAGGCGTTTTGTAATGTGAAGGCTAATGCGCTGTACCAGAACAGTAATAAAACACTGTCACGCCGGAACAAGCTTATTTTCCATTAATAAAACATATGGCATTAAAATCAGTGACAAGAC